GGAGAGACCTTTGGCCCTGGAAACCCGCTCCCTGCTGCGGGGGTCGGGGAGGTCCGGGCAGGCCCTCCCTCCCGCCGCTGGAACCCCTTCCCCAGCCCTGAACCCCAGGTGTGCATGCTCTGCTCAGGGTCCCCTCCTGTGCAATGGGAGTGTGCGGCGCCCAGAGCCTCTGCTGTGCCAGGCGATGGGAGGGGTGGGGGTGGAGATTGAGCGCGACCTCGGGATCCGGAGGCCTTTTCCCAGCAGGAGGATGGCTCAGGAGGAGGGCGGAAGCCTGTCCCAGGTGCGGGCGCGGGTCGGGACCTCGCACGGCATCACCGACCTGGCCCAGAAGCTGCGCTTCTATGACCGCTGGGCTGCGGACTATGACCAGGTAAACCCGCGGGGTCCTCCGCTTCTCTTGCTCGCCCAGCCTCAGTTTTCCCATCTGTACACCGGGAATAGGTAGCCTTGCATCCCAGGGCGGCTTGTGAGAATGAAGTGAGACCTGGGCACCACCTTACAGTCTTGTTCCCTCTCGAACTGCCCCCTCTTCTGCCCACACACCGCAGCCCTGCCCTCCGACCAGCCCCATCACTCCACAGTGGCAGCCCCTGGAGATCAGGGGCCAAGACCTCCCTCCCCACTTCGGGACTGCAGCCCAGGCAGAAGGACTGCCTGCCCGAAGGAGGTGCCATTGAAGGGCCACTATGGACTAAGCACAGAGCACTGCCTTGGCCAGCAGAGCAGGCTCGGCAGTGGGCTGAGAGGATAGCACCTCATGCCTGTCTCCCCTCATTGCAGTCCCAGCGGGCCTGGCCACCAGAGCAGCACACACACACACACACACACACAGCTTAGCCTGGCTGACGCCTAGACCACCCCACACTGAGGCCCCCAGACACTGGGACACAGGGAGGTAGTCAGCTCAGCACTGTCCCCAGGATGTGGCTGCCCTGCAGTACCGTGCCCCCAGCCTTGCAGTGGACTGCCTCACCCAAGCCCTTCCAGGCCCACCCCAAGCCGCCCTGATCCTGGATGTGGCCTGTGGCACCGGACTGGTGGCTGCCGAGGTGAGGCCTGCCCAGACCCCCTGCCCTCTGGTAAGCCCCCCACGTGTTCACATTTCTTGCCACCCTGGCCGCAATTCGCTGGTTCCCAAACACGTGGGCTACATCCACTACAGGCCCACTGCTCTCCTTAAGGTGCAGGGACCCCTCTGGGAGGGGGCCGGTGTGACCTGTGACAGCCCTCCCACCCCAGCTGCAGGCCCGAGGCTTCCTCCAGCTGCATGGAGTGGATGGGAGCTCAGGGATGCTGGAACAGGCCCGGGCCCGCGGCCTCTACCAGCGCCTCAGCCTCTGCACCCTGGGCCAGGAGCCTCTGCCCAGCCCTGAAGGTACTTCCTCCTGACCCTAACACCCCAAGGCCCCCTTGACAGGGCCCCTTTCTCTTGCCAAGTTTCCATCCCCCTTGCTGACGTCTCCAATGAGCCCCCTTCTATGCTGAGCCTTCATTCCCCTCTGAGCCTCTCAGTGCCTCACTAAGACCCTCTCTGAGGTCCCGTGAGCCCCTCTCTGAGCTCTCCGTCCCCATGATCTGACATCGGACCAGAATTGGGCTAACCTGCCATATCCCCCATGGGACCTGGGTCCTGCAGACACTAGTGGCTGGCCTGGTCCCTCCCCAAACCCACCATGGATACCATCCTCCAAGGTGGCCTGAGGCCACACCAAAGACAAACCACCACACCACATCTGCACACTTCACACAGGGACCTATGACGCAGTGCTGATGGTGGGCGCCCTCAGTGACGGCCAGGTGCCCTGCAGTGCGATACCCGAGCTCCTCCGAGTTACCAAGCCAGGTGAGAAGCAGCCTGACCAACCCCAGACACCTTACCCTCTCCACACCCAAAGACTCGAGCCTCAGAATTCCTGAGGCCAACCAAGTGGCATGGTCTTGCCTAGGGTCACACAGCCTCGCCTAACATCTCAGCCACCAGCTGCTGAATGCTGACCTGGGCAAACAAGCAGGGCAGACAAGTGGCCTCCTTGCTTCTTATTCATTAGGCGACCAGGAATAACTCCACTCTCCTCTCCGTAGGCATAGTCACTTCCTAATAGGATTACCATGATGATTGGGCGAAATAATATCTCTAAGGCCTTTGCTTTAGTCTTGGCTTAAAGTCTCAATTCAGTTTCCTCATCTTCCAGCTTCCTCACTAACTCATGGATGACTGTTAGATGAGTCGTTCTTTCCTGGTCTCAGTTTCCTCTTCTGTGAAATGGGGTTAATGCATTGCTACTGTGTGTCTTGCCCCGTGCCTGGCTCTGCTCTGAGGAGAAAGTATACACCCTAGCCTCTGGGCTCTATCACCAACCCACCATGTCCCTGCTTCCCAAACACTTGGGCTGCATCCACGGCAGGGCCCAGGGGAGGAAGACCAGGGCTGGGATGGGGAGTGGCGGCAATCCACACAGGGACACAGCCTAAGTCAGCGGTTCTCAACCTGTGGGTCGTGACCCCTTTGGCGGTCGAACGGCCCTTTCACAGGGGTCGCCTAAGACCATCCTGCATATCAGATATTTACATTATGATTCATAACAGTAGCAACATTACAGTTATGAAGTCGCAACAAAAATAATTTTATGGTTGGGTCACAACACGAGGAACTGTATTTAAAGGGCCAGAAGGTTGAGAACCACTGGCCTAAGTGAAGTTACAGGCAGAAAGGAGAGTGGAGTCTGAGGGTCATGAGACTCTGACGTGGCTGCAACCAGGACCAGGAAGCCCCAAAGGTGCCCCTATCACAGCAAGATTGCATCTCCCTGCAGGGGCGCAGCACAGGCTGCGGCTAAGCCTGGGCAGGTCTGGGCAGGCCTCGGAACCATGGAGGCTGACAGATGTAGGGACATTGGTGGGGTCAGAGAAGGAGGTCATGACTGGGCTCAGGACAGGAAGCTCCCATTGCCTGAACCAGTAAAGACCAGGCCTCAAGCCCCGCCTGTGCTTACCAGACCCCTCAGCTGGCCAGAGCCCTGTCTGCCTGCCCACATGTCACAAGCTCCCCCTTCAGAGTCTTTCCTCTCACAGCCCCTCTCCACCAGCAAGCCTGCTTCTCCTCACCCCTTCCTCCAGGAAAGCTTCCAGACACCAGTATCTAAGTGTATCTGAGCCTGCATTGGGCACACTGTGGGTGCCCTGGAAAGATATGAAGGGGCGAAATCACTCATTCATTCAGCCAGTGCTTACTGACTGCGCTGGCCTTTCTGAGACAGGGTAACTCATTGACCCCCCCCCCCCCCCCCCGCCTGCAAGTGAGAAACTGAGACTCGGGGAGGCGAAGGGACATGTCCAAGGCCATGTGCTTCCTTCCTGTGCATCCAGGCACAGCCATGTCCTCCAGCAGAGGCGTTGGGTGAGTGGTGAGGAGGGAGCCCCCTCTGTCCAGAGAAATAAGAATTCCCAGCATAAAGGATACTTGGCCCCTAAAGGGTACAGAGAAGGCTCAAGCTGGAGAAGCAGAGGTGATTCCTGAAGGTAGAAATGGTGAGCAGGCACCACAGGCTTGGAGATAGGACAAGACTGGCCTGGGAGTCAGCTGGGAGAACTTATGTCCTTGAGGACGTGAGCCAGAAGGAAAGGGGACTACTAACCTGGAACTTTGGCTCCTGCCTCTCACCTCCCTTTCCCCCATCCCTCCCCAGGTGGGCTGGTGTGTCTGACCACCAGGACCAACCCCTCCAACCTGCAATACAAGGAGGCCCTGGAGGCCGCCCTGGACGAGCTGGAGCAGGCCAGGGGGTGGGAACGCCTGATGGCCTGGCCTGTGGACCGGTGGGAACTGGCTACCTCTGAGCTCGAGGCAGGGCCTGGCACTTCTGACAGTGGTGGCTTCATCTCCGGCATTGTCTATCTCTACCGGAAGCGGCAGGTGGCCCCGGTGGAGGCAGTAAGGCCCAGTGCTCAGCCCCTCACTGGCCTCTGACCTTCCAGGTGACTCCATCCAGGCCTGTCCTCGCGCCTTCTGTACTTCATCTGTAAAATGGGGCCCCTGCACCAACCCAGCTTCTCAGGAAAGCTCTGCCTATTAAATGAGTCCCAGAGGGGCAACAGGATTCTGACTCTCCGGGTCTCTCTCCCAGGGA